ATCAGCGGGACGTTCCCTCGCAGCGGCTGCAGCTGGCGCGAGCGACAACCGCATTGAAGGCGTCGCCACCGGGTTCACGAAAGGGTGGCCCGCGCGCCGCAATTCGTCGCTTGCCCGTGGCACCGTGCGACCCCGACGTCAGGAGGCGCGCCTTGCTCGGGGCCCGGTACGCCGCCGTCCTCAATAGTGCCCCGCGTTCCCTCGGAACGTGGACGGCCGGCCTGAGGTGCTGGTTTCGCTTCGCGAAATCGCAGCTTGGCCGAGGGGACAGCCCCTTGCCGGCAACTGCGGACGAGCTCTGCCACTGGGCCCTGTTTTTCGAACCCAGGCACCTTTGCCAACTATAAGGCTCAGGTCGACAAGGCATGCGTGCTTCTAGGTCTCGATCGCTCGGCGTTCCGCAGCCCAGCAGTAGCGCGCGCGAAGACCGCGAACAAGCACCGTGCGCCTCAGCCCGGCCCGCGACCTCCTCCGGTCACGCGGAAGGCGCTAGTCGCAATGCTGCCGCACGTGCCAGATCCTCGGGTGCGAGCGCTGTTCGTGGTCGCCTTTGCCCTAGCCCCAAGGCTGCCCTCGGAGGCGCTGCTTATCCGCATTGGCGATCCCGCGATGGCGGCCAATTTCCGTTTCAAGCAGGAGGAACTTGACCGCCCAGCGCCGACCATCGTGCTTTTCACCACGGGCGAAGCGGTCGTCCTCCACCTTGCGAGGCGCAAGCACATGCCTAGGCCGAGCGTTGTCAGACGTTCGTGCTGGTGTCGCATATGCGCCGCGACCTGCCCGGTGCACGCCCCGCGCACCCTGCTGGGCGATATAGCGCCGGGTGCCTCCCCCTTCGCCCACTTGGCGAAGCCGACCAAGGCAGGGCGCGTTCTCCCCGTGCCGGCGGTTGCCCGCAACCTGCGCAGGTCGGCGCACGCGGCGGGGCTCCCCAATGCCGCCCGTATCACCTCTAGGTCTCTGCGGCGCGGCCACACGGAGACCCTCCGACAAGGTGGGGGGAGCCTCGCAACCATTTTGCGGGCCGGTAACTGGAGGTCCGGCGCCTTCAAGGCCTACCTGGACCAGCCTGCCTTGGAGTGCGCTGCGACGGGTGAGGGCATGGCCCTCTCCGCCAGCGTGGGCCCAGGGGCCGCGGGCCAAGCCCCCGCAAGCGCTGCCTCTCAGCCGTAATGCGCGCTTCGTCGCGCCTTTCGTACCGCGCGCGGCAAGAAATCCGCGACGATTGGCAGTGGGGGGCGCGCGCACGACGGCTGACGCCAGCCTGCTGTTGCATTGGGTTGTAGCAGCCAGGCGTCGCCGTCGAGGCGCGCGCCGCCACCGCCTTGTGCTCGGCGGGGGCAGCGCCGCCCGACGCGCCGCCGCACCCATCGCAGGATGGTTGCTCCGACCGCGTCGCGGACGCCGGAGAGCGCCGCGCCCGCAGCACTGTGGTGAGCGAACAGCCGGGGCGCGAATGCTGTTCGCGGGCGCAGCAGCGAGGCTGCGCTGCGCGTGCGTCCGCGCGCCACGCAGCGAGCGAATGAGCTTGCGAGGGGCGCGTCGCCGCGAGGCGAACAGCACGCGAAACGCGAGAAAGATGGAGCCGCGGCTTTGTCGGCTGCGCCGCGGCTAGGCCGCCGCGGAGGGAGCGAACGCGAGCGTTCACCGCGGCGCCGGCCAGCCTAGCCGCGCACAGGTGAAATCATAATTTGGCCGCGGCAGGCGGGGCGCCATCTGTGGCCTGGGCGCGTTTCGCCCCACCCACATCCGCCCGGGTTGTAGCGGCCAGGCGTCGCCGTCGAGGCGCGCGCCGCCACCGCCTTGTGCTCGGCGGGGGCAGCGCCGCCCGACGCGCCGCCGCACCCATCGCAGGATGGTTGCTGCGACCGCGTGGCGGACGCCGGAGAGCGCCGCGCCCGCAGCGCTGTGTCCTATGGCAAGATTGCCGGGCGTGCTATCCAGCGGCCCAGGAAGCGTCTTCTACAAGCGTCTTGCGGGTTTGCCGCGCCGCCATCCAGGGTTTTAGGTTGCGCAAGTTCCCAGCTTGCGAGCTCCCCAGGCATGCTTTCCAGCGCTCTTCCCAGCGCCCCCCATCAGCGTTTTACGCGCTTTCGACTGCTTCGCTTTCAGGGTTTCTCCCGGATCGCTCTCTGAGAGCTAGGAGGGTTGCGGATTGGAAGCCGGAGGTGGGTGGTGCCAGGCAAACGCCCGCCCTCGCCGCTCCGCGATTCCCGTGGCGCCCTTTCCAAGGTTGCAGCGTGTCCCCGAGACTCTCCTCCCATACGTTCCCACATAACTCCCTCAGACGTCTCGTTCACTCTCCCCAGATAACCTCTCCAAGCGTCCCCAGGTGAGGTTGAAGCTCTTTCCAGGTCCTGCCAAATGTCTTTGCGAGGCCCGTCCGCGCCTTTCAGGCGCCCTGCTATCCGGTTTTTTCCCGGATAGTTCCTCATAGACAAGAGAGGGTTGTTAGATGAGAAGCCAGAGCCGCAGGGTAGCCCCGGAGATCGTTGAGGCTTCCATGAAAAAGCCTCGCAGCGCCTTGCTCGAGGTTCTGGCGGGTCCCTGCAGGCCTTGTCTAAGCGTTTCCCGATGCGCGTGCCGGGAAGCTCTCCAGAACGTCTTTCGGAAGCACTCCCCAGATTCCTCCAGAGTGCTTCGCCGCGTCTTTCCACGCCCTTCGGGCGGCCTGCTACTTCCCGGATAGCTGAAGCTAACAGAGGGTTGTTGGATAAGAAGCCGGCAGGCAGGGCTGCCCCGGAGGTCGTTCCGGTTTCCGGGAATAAGCCCCGCCGCGATTGGCTTAAACTTGTAACGTGTCCCGAGAGGCCTATTCTGAGCGTTTCCCAATGCGCGTGCCCGGAAGATTTCGAGAAGCTCCTTCGGAAACTTTCTTCAGATCCTTCTAGGGCTGGTGATGATGCTGATGATGATGAGGATGATGAGGTGCAGAAGGAGGAGGAGGAGGAGGAGGAGGAGGAGGAGGAGGAGGAGGAGGAGGTGGAGGTGGATGATGATGATGATGATGATGATGAGGAGGAGGAGGAGGAAGTGGAGGAGGAGGAGGTGGAGGGGAAGGAAGAGGAAGAGGAGGAGGAGGAGGAGGAAGAAGAGGAAAAGGAGGAAATGGACGAAGTGAGGGAGGATGATGAGGAGGAGGAGGAGGAGGATGAGGCGGAGGAGGAGGAGGAGGGGGAGGGGGATGGGGGAGAAGGAGGTGGAGGAGGAGGAGGACGAAGAGGAAACCAAGCATGAAAAAGAAGAGTAGTCAATTAAGCAACCAGTAGTGCTAATGTTATTCGTATTATTAATAATAATCATCGTATTATTTACAATCATGATAGTATGACGCAGAATAGTATGCACAAACGTAGTAACATTAATCATAATGGTAAAAATAGTATTATTGATACTAATACTCAGAAGGAGGATGCGAATCATAATGCTTCTATTACTACTAAGCATACTACGCATAATATCAACAAACACGTAGTAGTATTATCAATACTAATTTTAGTGTAACAATACAACCTGTACGTGCCAAGATGACTACTACTACTACTACTACTACTACTACTACTACTAGTACTAGTACCACTACCACTACCACTACCACTACCACTACCACTACTACTACTACTACTACTACTACTACTACTACTACTACTGCTACTACTACTACTACTACTACTACTTCTACTCATGCTGGCACTTATACTATTGATAGTTGCCATACTAATATTACGAATAACCATAGTAATCGTATTCATAAGAGTATTTCCATTCATTGTCGTAGTATTCATAATACTACTGTTAGCAGTAACAATAACATGATCATTACTAACACCGACGATACAAACTTATACCACTACTATTACTGGCACTCCTAATCGTAATATGAAGCCACATTGAATCATAAAGGATAGTCCTATAAATAGTAGTAGCACTAGTACGTATACTGATACGATTAGCGCTAATACTAATAATCTTGTACGGAAAGAAGAAGAGGAGGAGGAGGAATCTGAGGAGGAGTCGGGGGAGGAGGCTGAGGGGCAGGAGCAGGAGGAGCAGGAAGAGGAGTTGGAGGATGAGGGCGAGAACGAGGAGGAGGAGGAGGAGCAGGAGGAGGAGGAGGAGGAGGAAGAGGAGGAGGAGGAGGAATACTAGGAGTATGAAGAGGAGCAGAAACACGAGGAGGAAGAAAGATCAAAAGGATGGTGGGGAGATATGGGAATGCTTGCGAAGAGGACTGATGATGACAGAAGAGGAGGATGAGGAGGACGAAGAGGAGGAGGATTGGGAGGAGGAGGAGGAGGAGGAGAAGGAGGAGGAGGAGGAGGCGGTGGAGATGAAGAAACGGAGCGGGCGGATGGAGGAGGAAGTGAACGAGCAGGCGGAGGAGGAGGATGGCACGAGGATGCAGCGAAGGGAAACGACGAGACCGAGTATAAGGAGTCAGTGAAGGATCAAGGGGGGGGCATGGGGGAGGCCTCTCTCACAGCGCCTGCACATTTATGGCTTCGCAGTCCGCAAGTTGCTATGCTAACTGAGGTCCCGCTGCGGTACGAGCATTTTCTGGCCGAAGGTCCTGACGCAGGCAAGCATCCTCCACATTCGGAGGTGGTCCCGTCCTGTCGAGTTCACACACACTCGCAATTCAGGTCTCGGCTATGCCCTGGCCTGAGATGGCCCCGTCAGTTTCGCCGCAGACATCGGCGCACCTCTGGGCACGGAGATGTCGCGCGAGACGTGGTCCGCCAGTTAGGCCCGAGACAGTTTCGGAACTCTGGATTTCGAGTTGCTGCACTCCCTGGCCAGGTATCATCCATGAGCCGCTTGACGTTGACATGAGAAGTGCTGTTTTTCGGCTCCGTTCATTAGCAGTGCTTCCTGTTCCATCTGAACACGTTGCCTCTTGTTCGCTCTCCTCGTCTGCAGCCATTTTGGAATTATCGCCAGGGTCACCTAGCTGTTCCCCAACGGAGCGGGCTCAGGCTTGATTAGGCGCTCCTGCCGAGATGATCTTGCAGGCTTGGGGCGAGACCATCAAACAAAGGAATGGCGGGGCCAACGTCGAAGGAGGAAGAGGAGGGACGAACGTCGACGCCCATTCTTGCTCCTTCTGAACAGGATTCGTTGCCGGAGCCGCAGCGGATGGCGTCCGTTCGTTGTCGGGAAGCGTCCGGCCAACAGCGGTCTCTGCCGGCTTGAGACAACATCAGCGGGTGTGCACCGCTCCCGTTTTTACTCTGAGGCGGCCAGCCATGAGGGGGCCGTGGACACAGCTCCTGGGCCCAGCCTGGGCCTGGCCAGAGGCGGCGGACACGTATGGAGGCCTCGCCGCCCTGGGGTGAGCAGGTCGCTGGCGTTTCGGACCTGCCTGTAGTTGGCCAGTAGGTGTTCTGGCGTTGCCGCTGCGTGCCCCGCGCTGCCCCGTGCCGGGGTGGGGCTGCGGGTGCGGCTCCCGCTGCTGCAGTGGAGCCGTCCTGGGCTCTGCGCGGGCATCCCTCGAGCCCCTCAGGCCCCTCGTCCTCGTCGCCGCCGCCGGCGCCGCCTCCCCCCGAGGCATCGCCGCCCGAGTTCGACCAGTGCTGCCTTCTGGCCCGTTGCTCCTCCCGAACCGTCAGCGGTGAGTGCATCGGGCGGCCCTGCGCGACAGCCGCGCTGCGGCCTTGCCTTCGGGCGAGGCCGCACGCGGCGATCGGCGAAGACCAGAGGCGACGACGGGCGCATAGCCCGGGGGCCCCTCAGACCCAGGCAGGGCTGGACCTAAACGCCTGTGTTTAGTTTTCCGTTTGGGCAGGTAGAGCAACACGAGTAACAAAACAACAACAAAACGAAAAGCAGCGTTTCGGTCCAGCCCTGGACCCAGGCGATGCAGCAACACCGCAGCGGCCAGTTCTTTGTCGCTCCCGGCCCCTGGGCCTCCAGGCGCAGCCTCCGGGCCCCTGTGGACCGTCGAGGAGCGGCTCGGGAAGAGAAAAGCCCAGCCTCGGGGAAGCGGTCGAGCTCCCTGGGAGCCCACGCCGCGAGACAGAGGTGCTTCCCCGGAGGAGGGCGGCGGCCCAGGGGCGGCGCTGCACGTCTCCGCCCGGGAGCCTCGTCTCGAGCATGTGGGCGAGCGGTGCGCTGGGATGCGCGTGGCCCACCCCCCCCCGGGGGCCTTGCGCCCCCCAGCGCAGCCGCCGCCGAGGCGGGAAGTGGCCTTCCCCGGCCCGCTGGGGCAGTGTGCGGTGCTGCTCTGCAGCAGCTCACGCCGGCCGGGGCCCCCTTGTCTTGGGGGGGTGTGGATAGACGACCTACCCTGACACGTCGATTAAGGAATTGGCCGTTTTCGGTTCGCGAGAGGGCGTCGCGGCCGCCATTTTTGCGGGTCCAGGTCCGTCGGTTTCGGTCCCAGGCCGTTTTCACTAAGGGGAGGTTTGCTAAAGGGAGGTTTGTCCACCGCCGATTTTGGGGGGTGTGGGGGGGGGGCGTGTGGGCTGCGCAGCTCCGCCCTGCCCCTGTTCTTCCCGAGTTCACCGTCGGACGCCCGCCAGGCTGGGAGGGAGGGTGGGGGGCCTCCGAGATCACAAGCGTGCGCCTGCCTTCTCTCTCCTCCTGCCCCTCTTCCTTCTCCTGCCTTTCCCCTCCTCCTCCTCCTCCTCCCCCTCCCCCTCCTCCTTCTCCTCCTCCTCCTCCTCCTCCTCCTCCTCCTCCTCCTCCGCTTCCTCTCTCTTCTCCTCCACCTCGCTCTTTTTCCTCCTCCACCTCCCCATCCGCCAAAATGGGGAATGAGAGGGGTGTCCTCGCAAGCCCACTTCCAAAAATCGGGGACCAAGAGAAGATAACTCCTTATGCTTCGCCTTTGCTCACAATGGCGCGTCCAGAGGCGCCTCCTGGGCAGGCAGTGCCCAGACTTCCTCGTCGACTCGAGACAGCATCGCGCATGAGTTTTTTTAGCATTTTTTTTTTTGCGCTCGGGGGTACTTTCCAGCCCCCTGGACCGTCAAAGAGCTACCCGTGACGAAGACCGGCCCCCCGGGGAGGGGTCGAGAGCTCGAGGGGCCCGCGGGTGGTGCCGAGGCGCAGTGAGCGGGGACGCGATGGAGCACTGGCGAGACGAGCAGGTGGTGCGCCAGTCAAAGCAGCCGTGGCCTCTGCCCACCTCGGGTGCGACGTCTGTCCAATCGGTCCCCTCTCAGCTGCGGCCTGACCGACCCCTGGCAGACCGACTCCTTCCGCAGCCACACCATCGCCTCGCTCCAAGCCGTGGGCAGGCGGCCAAAGAGGGGAGCCTCGAGGGCGATGAGCTCGCTACGGAAGCGGTCGGTGTGGCTGCGCCCGAAGTGCGGCATCTGCCCAAGCTGCCTCCCGAAGGCAGCTTCTCGGGGGCCCTCAAGGAGCCTTCCAGATGCTGGAGGCCCCTCATAGCCATCTTGGGGACTTTGGGGTTAAGTCGGGCCTGTCCCTCTACATGGGGAATCTTCCAAAATAGTCAAAACATAGTATGGGGACTACTTTTTGAGTATTTTTTCATCATTTTGGATTTCGTTTTGAGTACTTTGTATTCGTCGTCGCAAATCCTCCTGTAAGGGGACACGCCCGACTCAATTTTGGGGGATGGGAGGGGCGGATTCCCAGACTGCGCTCCTTGGGACTGCTCGTGCCCGCCGCCGCCCCTCGCCGGGCTCCCTCGGCCTCCCTGGGGCTCTCTGGGAGCCTGCCGGAAGCTGCCTCGGGCTCCCCGAAGCTCTCGGTGCTGTCGCCCGGCCGGTGGGGCTTCTCCTGGGGTCCCCTTGGGCCTCGTGCGACCTTTTGGGGAGAAGCTGCTTCGGGCTCCCCGAAGCTCTCGGTGCTGTCGCCCGGCCGGTGGGGCTTCTCCTGGGGTCCCCTTGGGCCTCGTGCGACCTCTTGGGGACCTTTTGGGGCCATCCTGCGGCTTCGAGAGGCCCATCTGAGGCCGAGACGGCGAGACGTTCGGAAAGCCGTGGGGCGGCAGCGCGTTGGTCGATCCCTGCTGGCCTCGTGGGGTGCCTCCTTCGGACCCCGCCGTCCCGAGGCCGTCACAGGGCACCTTGAGGTCATCGCGGTGGCCGTCCTGGGCCCCTCTTGAGCGGTCCTCCGCACGCCACGGCGCGGGTGCACCGAGGCGCCGAGGCGCCGATGCCTCGAGGCGATGGCGACGGCGGCGGCGACGCGTTGTGGCGACGGCTGCGGCGACGGCCGCGACGATAGCGGCGGCGGCGGCGGTGACGGCGGCGGCAAGCGCTCAAAGGCGGCCGCGCCCAGCATGTCGGCGCCGCCGCAGTACGGAGGCGTAAGACCTGCGGGAGCCTCGGCTGCCGGCCGCGCAATGAGCCTTTGGAGGCGGGGCTCAAGAGACGAGACGGGGGTCAACGCAAACGGGGGTCAGCCACAGCGCCGGATCTTGCAGGATCCTGCAGCCCCAGGGTCGCATTGTACCATGTTTGGGTGCAGGATTCTGCAGCATCTTGCAGGATCCTGCAGGGGCCAGGGTCGCACGGACCCGGGTTTGGATGCAGGATCCTGCAGGATCCTGCAACGCCCGACTGACTCGGGCTTGGACTGACCAGGGTCAGCAGATCCCCGACGGAGGGTGTCGATCGCCGTGGCGGAGGGCGGGTCCTGAGGGCAACGGGTCCCGAGGTTTTGCGCCGATGTCCGGCTCCCAGGGCTCTCGGGCCTTGTGGTCGCCGCAGAAGCGTTTCGGGACGAAGAGCTGGTCTCGGAGGAAGGCCCCGGGGTCCAGGACCCGTTTCTCGCAGGACCCGTTTTTTCTCGGAGGTCGATAGACTTTCTACCCTGACGTCGATTAGTGGATTGACCGTTTTCGACTCGCGAGAAGGCGTCGCGGTCGTCATTTTTTGCGGGTCCAGGTCCGTCGGTTTCGGTCCCAGGCGGTTTTCCTTAAGGGGAGGTTTAAAAAAGGAAGATCTGTCCACCGCCGATTTTTTCCATCCCAAGGCAATTGTCTGCTGGCCTTCGGCCCATCCCGCCACCGTGCTTGGGTTGTCGGTCGGAGGCCTCTCGGGGCCTTTCCGGCTCGTTTTGGGGCGCTCGTGGCTCCGAAAGAGTCATGCGGGAAGCTTCCAGGAGCCGCGCTGTCCTCGTTTTCCTCTCCTCCCTTCCTTCTATGTGACGTACAGAGGTCTCGCAACCATTTTGGCTTTAGAGGCGCTCCCGCGCCGGTGACTGCTCGTACCAGTATTTTCTGAACCCTTTCAGAGAAACATTGTCTTAGGCCTTTCGGCCCCCTCCGCCCCGATGCCGTCCCGCCATGGTAGCCAGAGCTTGGACGAGGACCTGTCGGGTCAGGGGCGAGGTGCTCAGGAAAACGGAGAGGGCAGACAGGATGACGATTCAGGTGCTGGCGCGAAGGACGCCCATGCGTTCGATGGATAGGATATTGTCTCGACGCCGACACAGGGGACGGCGCCAGGGGCTGCAGCTAGCTCCGAGGGCGCAAGCGACAAGAAGTCGGCGTGGGAAACCTGGGGCGCGAGATGGTCAAATTGGCAGTGGTGGCAGGGCTCCGATTGCGGGGGAACCAGCAAGTGGGGAAATTCACCGTGGGAAGAAGTCAATCGTGATTCTTCGGTCTCTTTTGCCACATATGGGAGAATTCTTCACGCTTCGCGTATCCCCACCAGCCCATCTCAAAACAGCAACTCTAGCGAAGCATGCCGACAGTCGTGTTTTTCAGGCGTGTTTCCGCCTGCCCCCGCACATCTCCCCTGGTCCTCCTTCCTCCCGCCTCCTTGTACATCCTCCTTGTGGTGGGAGCGGGAGAAGGACGAGGCGGAGGAGAAAGCGCTCCTCGTGGTTTGAGTCGTTCGGGCTTCTCGTTCTGGTGTGAGTCGTTCGGGCCCTTCTTCCTGGTGTGAGTCGTTCGGGCTCTTCGTGGTGTGAGTCGTTCGGGCTCTTCGTCCTGGTGTGAGTCGTTCGGGCTTCTCGTGGTGTGAGTTGTTCGGGCCCCTCGTCCTGGTGTGAGTCGTTCGGGCCCCTCCTCCTGCCCGTCCAGAAACGACGCCCACGCGAGTAGAGCGTCGTCCTGATGGGCTGTTCGGCGTCTTGGGTGCCTCGGGGGGGCCTCTTTGGGCCGTGTGGGATCCTCTTGGGGGCCTCCTGGGGGCCTCTTGGGGCCTCTTGGTGCCTCCTTGGCGCTTCTTGGGGCCATCTTGGAGGAAATCGATCAAAGAAGAGGGGAGCTTTAATTAGCGCTGCCCCTCAGAAAATGGGGCCAACACCTGAGTAAAATCAATGATTTTGGCTTGAAAGAAGAGGGGAGCTTTAATTAGCGCTGCCCCCTCAGAAGGCCCAAATGGGGCCAAAACCGTAGTAAAATCAATGATTTTGGCTTCAAAGAAGAGGGGCGGGTTTTTTCTCCCCCCCCCCCGTCGGGGCCAGAATCCTCGTGAGGGGTGTCGTTTTTTAGCCCTCCCAGGAGTCGAAAAAGACCCCTCCAACCACCCGCGAAAGGACCTCTCCAGGTCCAGGGGGAGGGGGTATGGGGAGGGGTAAACCCCTCCCCGAAGGGGAAGAAGGGGGGTTGAGAACAGAGCGGGCTCTCTAAACCACTCACGCCCAAAGGGCTGGTGGGATTTCGATTTGTATCTAGCCAGCCTGAGCTCTTGGGAAAAGAGGACAGCCCTCAAGAAAGAGACGCGAGCAGGACTTGTAGACCTCCCCCATAGAGCTTCAGGCTAAGTTCAAAATCGTACGACACCAGTGCGACGAGAGTGACGGGCTCAGCAAGGTAATATGTCATTTCAAGCTATGGAAAAGGCGAGCGTCCCGGCGACAAAGAGAGGGAGGCGCACAACGAGGCGCTCTTCGACATCTCTTTTCGAGAAGGTGAGGAGCTTACGGATTTCGTGTTGCGCTGGGATTCGCAGATAGCATCAGCCAGGAAACTGGGACTCACGTTGCCCGACGCGGTGAAGGCTAGGTGTTTCGAGGCTGATGCGAATCAACCTGCGGACGTTGATGGCAGGCGAGAAGACCACTGACGCCGTCAAGGCCGCGTTGCTGGAGTTGGGCATCACCGAGAGGCAGACTTTGCTCAAGGGTCTGGGCACGGGCCACCAGGCCAATACCTTCGTCACCGGCGTCGGACCCTCGGTCGATCACGAGGACGAGTGCGGCGTGTGCGACGACAGAGAGTGCTTCGGTCTTTTGGAGACCGAGTTCGATGAGGGGGAGCTGAATACGACTGATATCGCTAGACGCTCAGGACTTGGATGAGGAACGTATCATCGACATTTTCGCTGCGGTCACTCTTCCCGCTCGCCGTCGGACATGGGTGGAGTCACGACAGGCGAAGACGAACAAGAAGGTTGATCGCCAGTTTTTGGATCGTCGCAAAATCAGGACCACTTGGGAAGCTACTCGAGACGACTTCAAGAACATATCCAGGTGCTAGAATTGTGGCGAGAAGGGTCATTGGCGAGAAGATTGCAGACGACCGTGCCGCAGCAAGGCAGATAGGGTGAAATCAGAAGTTACTCGAGGCCCCGCAGGAAAGGGAGGTGACAAGGGCACCAAGTGCGACGACAGGAAGCCCAGCGTGACCTCTTCTTACTTCGGTATGGATCAGGACACTGGCTCGCGCTCCAGCACGACTTGGGCAGTGATCGTGGATGCACAGGGCCAGCTGCGCACGCTCTCCAACGCTGCGAGGGGCGCGAAGGTGGGCCAGGTGGGGCCGCCCTCGACCTTTCGGGCCAGCTGGGCGACGAGAAGGATGACCTCACTGCGGCGATGCTCCAGGACATGGACGAGCACGCACTGGTCGACGCGGCTGCCGGGCAGGCGCTGGTCGGAACTCCGGACATTGTCAAGCTGAAGACCGCGTTCGAGGCCATTGGTTTCACGATCCATATCGGCGACGTCGATGAGGTGTTTGCGGCTGACGGGGTCGGTGGCAAGATGAAGCCCATCCGAACTGCGGCGGTTCCGGTCTCGTTGCTGGGATGCGGCGTCGTCAAAATCTTGATGCTGCCTCGCTCGCGTCTGCCTCTGCTGCCTGCTCGCTTCCACGACTTTCTCGGATCGGTGATCGACCTTCGGAGCGGCGTCATGACTGTGGGGAGGGGTGATCGGCGCGGGGACCTGACGCTGATGAAGCTGCCGTGCAGTCACCGTGCTGTCTCACTTATCATTGCGAGCCCTCGGAGTTCGTGTTGGACGACGACCTCGCCGCGAAGTTTCCGCCTTTCGTCAAGAGGGGCGCGGGGGCATGGATCGCCGGCTCGGTCGAGGCTCCGGCGCTGCAGGACTGCTGGGCCATGATGGGCGATGTGGCCAGGCGGGTGCATGTGAGCCCTCGGACGGATGCCTTCTCCATCGCCGAGGCGGGCGCCCCGCCTGCCGAGGTCGGCCAGCCCGGCTCCGGGCGCGTCGCGTGCCAGGTGCTGGGCGGCTCCGCGACGAGCTGCCCGGTCCTGGAGTGCAAGTGGACGGGCGGCGCCCCGGGCCACTCGGTGAAGTCTCCTGGCCGCTGGACCGGCTACGCGGAGTTCGAGGTCGTGAGGTCTTCTCAGGGCCAGAGGGTAGGGCAGGGGATGTCACGCAGTGAAGCAGGGCAGTCTTTCTCCTGCCCCTCCTCGCCTCAGTCGCAAGAGTCTGGGCAGCGGGGCCCCAGGGTAGGACCTCTTCCCAGTCATGAGACGAGTGGGGTGTCCGTGGCACTCCTCGGCTCCAGCTCTAGCCGCCGTGGGCCGCCCAAATTTTCAGCAAACGTCTACCAGTCCCCTGGCGATGCTGCAGAAGATCAAGATTGTCAAGGCCCGGATCGACCGCTCGCTCAGGGGCCTTCGCAAGCAGCTTCTGGCGGGCCAGCGGGGCTCGGACCTGCCGCAGGATTTGGATCTGGAGGTGATTTCACAGGACGACGAGGAGCACTACTCGGATATCAAGATGAACTGGGACCAGACGTCGGACTCTTGGGTCGGCGCCCAGTTGCAGCGCATCAGCTACCAGGGCGAGGAGATGAGCTCGGTGGAGGAACAGCTCTTCAACGAGGGGGGCTTCCTCCTGGGCCCGGCGTCTCGGAAGTGGCGCGCGTGGACCATCCGCGCGATTCTGTTCCTCGGGGTCTGCGCGGAGTCGAGGCTAGCGGCGATCGCGGCGCCGCGCCTGGGCCTCCTCAGGAGCATCGAGGATGAGGGCTCGAGGGCCAGCTGCTCGCGCCCCCTCTCGGCGCGCTGGGGCGGCGGAAACCTGCGCGGGTGCTGCCCGAAGTGCCGGGCGCGCGGCAAGCGCTTCAGTTTCGTGAGGAAGACGAAGATATATATCGAGGATGCCCGTGTCATGGGCATCGCAAAGCGCGAGAGGGACCTCGTCGAGAAGGAGGGCGCTCCCGAGGATTTCGTCGAGATGGAGAAGGCGCCGCGGTTCGTGGCTCCGCCGCAGTGCGCGATGCACTGCGGGGGAGCTGATGGTGCCAATGAAGGCGCAGCCGACGGCCAGGAAGTCGCTTCCGGCAACGAAAGGGGGCATCAGCGGCAGCAGCAGCAATGCCACGTCGATCGCAAAGAGCTTCGAGACCATGCGGGTAATGCAGCAGCATATGGATATGCTGATCGGCGTGCACCGCCCGGTGGTGGCTCCGCCGGCGGACTCGCGGGAGCTGGGTCGCCGAGAGTTTCAAAACGGCCTCGGGGGACCTGTGCCGTCCTGTTCGGAGAAACGTCTCTCGTTTCTGGTCCGGATGCTGGGGCCTGGCCTCCGAGGGGCGGCTGTCCGAGGATCGGGTGTCAGTGGCCGTCGGCTGGGTGTCCCAGGATCTTTCCGCCGCGGACAAAGGGGCGTGGGCCGCTCAGCTGGCCATGAAAACAGACGGGGATCGTGGGGTGGGGGGCCTGCGCGAGGGGGTCAGGTGGCTGCGGGTCAAGAGGAACGAGACCGGAAAGGTAGTTCTGGACGAGTTGTGCGCCTCGCTCTCTTTCGCGGCTTTCGCTGGGGCCCTAGATGACCTTCCCGCCGGTGCTCGGGACATCGCGGTCTGGCGCCGCTCAGCCTGGGGCTCAGATGGCCTCGAACCTGGAAGAATCTCCGACTTGGGCCTGGTTCTCGACCAGATCCAGGGCGAGGTCAGCCAGGGCCCGCCCTCGAAACGCATCATTTCGACCTGGTGTTTCTTGGGCCGCTACGCGGACGTCGAGCAGGATGGCTTTCTTTCTGCTGCGGTTCTCCGTGAGGTTCGTCAGCAGGCCTTGCGGGTCCCTGATGGGGATGGGGCTGGGGAAGTTCGGGGGCGGGCATGGAAAGACGTTCAGCGGGCCTTCGAGGAGCGCGAGGCCACCATGTGCCTGGAGCTTCTCTCCCCTCCCGGGGTCGAGCCGGAGTTGCGTCGTTTGGGCTTCCCCTGCAGAGGTGCTCGGCGTCTTAAATTAATAGGCGGAGCTGTGATCTTTGAAAATTAAGAAGCAGGTGTGTATATGCACATGTATATTTATAGGCCATCTTAACATTCGTTGACTTTGGACAGTGAACACTCGTTGCGATTGGGAAAGACTAGGAAAACAACAACTTCTCCCTCACCTACCTCCTCCCCTGCCACCAGGATTAACGTGGGAGGGGGAGAGGGGGAGAGGGGGAGATAGAGAGCGACCTCCCCCGTGATTTCTCGTTGCCTTCCCTGGTGCCCTATGGTTGGTGCCCTGCGATGACGACGACGACGAAGACGACGACGACGACGACGTGGCCTCCCTCGGAATGCCCCTGAGGCCCGGAGAAGCCTCCCAGAGCTCCCGACGACGTGGCCTCCCTCGGACAGCCCCTGAAGCCCCGAGAAGCCTCCCAGAGCTCCCGACGACGTGGCCACCCCCAGAGTGCCCCTGAAGCCCCGAGAAGCCTCCCAGACCTCCCGTGACGTCCGCGGCCATACTGATTCAAGCGAGTGTTCGGGGTTCGGCTCGCTCTTCGAGGGAAATGGCGGGCCGTGTTCCATGTCGGCCAGCTTCCAAGGATGACCTCGCGGAGGTCTTGAAGAAGCACATCGCTAGTCCGAGCAGCGTCCCGCCGTGCGCCGAGACAGGGGCAGGGGGCCTCAAGGTCAAGAAGATCGCCGTTCTGACGAACGTGTGGCAGGAGCTGGACACAGCTTTCGGGGGACTGTCCTTCAAGAAATAGGTTTTCCAGGAGGCGCTGAAGGATCTCTAATTGGTTTTTGGTGATCAGCAGAAAGAGTGGGTGACCGTCGTTTGGAACATGATGAGGCACATCTCGCAGGCGAGGCACAGAGCGGCCCCGCCCGCCCGGGTTGTCCAAGCGATGAACATGGAGGCCCAGCCCAACGGCGATGACGAGAACCCCGAGGAGGAAGACGAGGAGTTCTACGACGGCAGCTCGCACGACGACGACGAAGACGACAGGGGCCAAGAAGGGGGTGCAGCTGCCGCTGACGGGGGCTCAGCCAGCAACGGAGTACGTCTACGGTTGGGGCGCTGACGGCTTGCAAGGCTTTCAGGGCGCCGATCGCAAAGCCCAGCGAGAAGGAGTGCACGGACGACGTGGAGGTCAGCTCGAGCGACCCGAAGGGCTTCGTCATCGCGAGGTTCTCCGAGGAGGACGTCAAATAGATCGTGGACATGACGAGCGAGGAGTTCGAGGTGAACGCCAAGATCCGCTTCGAGAAGACGAAGGGGGCGCTGTGGACGGGCAAACATGTTGACGCGGTCGCGCAAGTTACCATCCAGAAGAAGGTCGACAAGGCTATTGGCTAGGTCATTCTCGTCCGCTCTGACAACATCGTCGAGGATGCGCCAGGCAAGGAGAAACATATCCAGGTCATCATTGGGCACGACAGCGCGCGCATACCGCAGGGACGTGATGGCGAAGACGGTCGGGCTACTGCAGAACTACATCCCCGGGTTGCTCGAGCGCGACTGAGCCGCCCATCGAAAGTCCAGTCCAGCGGCGAGGCGGCGGCGGCGTCCAGCAGCAGTGCACCGGTGACCTCGAAGAGAGAAGCGTCAGCCTGCAGCGCGGCGAAGCCCAGCAAGAAGCCCAAGTCGTCTTCTGCGATCGAGTCCGCCTGCCCGGCCCGCCCACCAGGTCCGCGCGCTCGCCTGCTTGAAACCGCTCGCCCGATATCTTGTCCTGCCTTCACGACCTGCTTGCTGGGCTTCGTTCGCTGTGCTCTCCCGCCCGCCTGACCCGCCCGTCAGGGTACGCCCGTTCGCTTGCTCGGAAGCCCGCCCAAGCGTTTTCAGGGCTCGCCCGCCCGCCCGCCCCGCCCGTGAGGTTCCGCCCACCCGACCTGCTTTTTGGGGTCCGCCCGCCGTCCGTCGCGGTCTACTCAGGATCTGGCATGTAAAAGAGGAGCCCACCCCGAGCGGATATGTGCATACGCGGAGAGGGTATGGGTGTTTGTGTGTTTGTGTGTTTGAATGTGTGTGTGTGTGTGTGTGTGTGTCTGTGTGTGTCTGTGTGTGTGTGTGTGTGTGTGTCGAAGGTCCGTGTTTTTGTCGTTGTCCTTTGCGTCGTCCTCGTCCTCGTCCTCGCCCTGGTCCCCGCTGCTGAGGTCCGGGGCGTGTCGGGCACCTTCACGGGGCCATGCTCGCGGGACACCACGGTGCTCGTCAACCCCAGGCCGGGCATTCTTCGTGCTGCTCCCCTAGTCGATCCTCGTCCTTATCCTCGTTCTCGTCCTTCTCTGACTCCTCTCTTGCATGTGCCTCTACGTTCCCTTTCCTCTTCCATCTTCCCTCCTTCCCCCTCCTCCCTGCTCCCTCCTCCCCTCTTCCACCAGCTCAGAACTCAACTCCCCGACCTCGGCAAACAAGGACAACATGCAGCCTGGGAAGGCCCCGCAGGGGCCAAAGAGCTTTGGCCACACGAGGGCCCCACAAAAACTCGATGCAAGAAGTTGCACCAAATTGGGGCCGACAAGAATGCCGAACGTGGGACAGCACCAGCAGGAGGAATAGCGGCAAGAGGTCGAGGAACAGCAGCACGAGAGAGGATACCATTTGACAGGAGCAGCAGCACCAGGAGGAGCAGCAGAGCCCCGCCCGTGAATAGCAGCCGCAGGATGATGATGATGATGATGATGATGATGATGATGATGATGATGATGATGGTGGTGGTGGTGGTGGTGGTGGTGGTGGTGGTGGTGATGAGGAGGAGGAGGAGGAGGAGGAGGAGGAGGAGGAGGAGGAGGAGGAGGAGGAGAGAGAAGGAGGAGGAGGAGGAGGAGGAGGAGGAGGAGGACGAGAAGCAGCAGCAGCAGCAGCAGCAGCAGCAGGTGGAGGAGGAGGAGGAGGAGGAGGAGCAGGCCCAGACCCCCGACGATGTCACTTTTTCACAGCGTGGACCCCTGGATGTCTCGATCCATTCCCCGGGACTGGTCTTTTATCGCGAGTGTTTTTTTGAAAGTTCCATGGCCCTCGGAGTGCCCCCAGAGGCCGAAACTAGTGCAACGGTTTTTCATCCCGAGTGTTGTTGACGGTCCTGGGTCTCTTGAAGGGCCCCCAGAGGCCGAATCTAGTAAAATCCCTCCGGTTGTGATTTGTCCCAGCGCGAGGGGGTCTGGGGGAGGAGGAGGAAGAAGATCACGAGCGGTGAACGCATCCAGATCCACGCCCTCGCGGCCTGGATTCTGGGGCGCGATGCCGTAGATACGCGAACGCACGGCTACGTTCCGCGCGGGGCATCCGCGAAGAACCGCCCGAGGCCGCGGACACGGATATGTTTTCTCGCCCACGAGGACCGTCAGACAATCGTAAACATGGACTGAGGGGGCGTGGATTAGCGACGGGTCCCGTTTCCATGGCGAATCGCGGATTTCCGTCGCCGAACGTGGCGGCACCGACCGCATTTTGGGGAGGGCACCGCGCCCCCGATCCATGTTTGCGCGCCCCCGAGAGCAGCAGCAGCAGCAGCAGAGCCCCGCGCCGCGAGGCTGCCGTCGTCCTCCTGTGCAGTGCCCGGCCCGCCCCAGCGGTGTGCGCGCCCCTCGGGCTTCGCCTCGGGCCACACGCCGGCCGCCGCCACTCGCGAGGACGGCGCGGCGCAGCGCGTCGTCGTCGTCGTCGTCGTCGTCGTCGTCGTCGTCGTCGTCGTCGTCGTCGTCGCCGCCGCCACCGCCGCCGCCGCCGCCGTCGCCGTCGCCGTCGCCGTCGCCGTCGCCGTCGCCGTCGCCGTCGCCGTCGTCGTCGTCGTCGTCGTCGTCGTCGTCGTCGTCGTCGTCGTCGTCGGCGAGGGGGATGATGAGGAGAAGGTGGCCCCGCCCTCCTGCCCCTGCTCCACCCCGTCACCTGACGCTGACGGCACTGGGTCCGATGGCCAGAGATGCTACGCCTCCCCCCCCAAGGGGCGGTCGCCCCTTGATGGGGGGGATGGCAAACGAGATGTGCGGTCGTGAAGAACAGAAGCCGCGACAGGAGGACCCCCTCGGGGGCAGGGCGACTCCCTTGGCGGCCCTTGGGGGGGGGGGAGACGACGAGCCAGCGAGGACCGCTCTGTGACAAGCCTGTGGCTTGAGTGGGGAGGGAGGAGGTGGCGACACTTGTGGCGGAGAAGCGTAGTATGGGAGCGGGCCAGCAGTGGAATGGAGGAGGAGGAGGTGGCGGCAGCTGTGACTGGAAGACGGGATGTTGCGGCCACATGCGTGGCGAACGCTGATGAGAACATTGGCGTCATGGAGCGGGTTCTTCCTGGACGCTGGGCGAAGGTGGCTCTGAAGAGACAGCTGCAGAGGGTCAGGTGGGCTGCGGCGGTTTGCGGCTGCTGCGGCTGGTGGGCCACCGGTCGCCCTAGCCGCAGGTGGGGTCGTGTGAAGGCCCCCCCCCTCCAGTCCATCGTAGGGCTGCCCACGAAAAAGCTTCCTGTCCCGCCCAGGGCGCGGAGGAGGGCTCACGCCATCCAGGGGACCGTGGGCGGCCGGTGGCAAGTTCTCGCCTCTCCTCCACCGCCACGATCCCACCCCGAGTTGTGGTGGCTGCGGGGTGGCGCGCGAGAAGAGCATCGGAGGCGGTGATGGCGCGTGGGGGAGATATTTGGGGAGGTTGATCGGAGCTGCGCGAGGTGGCGCGTGAGCCGTGGGCCGCGGTCGCTCGGGCCCTAGCCCAGAGGGCCGACGGCAAGCGATTCCTCCCGTCGCCACCCAGTGATGAGCTCCCGCCCCTCCTCGTTCCACAAGAGAGGGAACGGTGTAGGTTAGACGGGGGGGGGGCAAGCGGCGGGACAGTTCAGGGTGAGTAGGCAGGCAGGAAGGCGTGGGGGTAGTTTGGGTAGAGTGGCGCACTCTCGTTCCGGTTGGTGGCTCGCCCACCGTGTCCTGTCGTTGCGAAACCTGTCGCGCCATACTGGCGGTGGCCTCTGCTGCTTCCGCCGCCGAAGGCGGAAGTCGTGACCGCACGCCCCCTCACTTTTCCCGGCGCTTCCTCCTTTTCCCCACCAAGGCTTACTACGGACTGAGGTGACGCTTACCAACGAGTCCCTCCAGACGCACTTTGAGAACATGTTTTCTCGCCTCGCGAAACCGACCGTATGCCGAGTGAGGAGCGGGCGGTGCGTCCCCCGCAGACCCGCGAGCGCCAGCGAACTGAACCCCTCTCCCCCACTTCCTCCCGTCCCTTCGTCCGCCTTATCCTTCCTTCTCGTCCCCCGCGCGCCCCCAGGGGCGGGGGAGCGCGCTGGGGGGTCAGCGGGGATGAGAGCAGAGGGAAAGGGGAGAAACTGTTCGCGTGGCTGCAGTCAAGATGTGGAATGGCCCCTGCGCAGGGATGACACCGCACACGTCAGGAGGTGGTCCTAATCCTGCTCGACGCGTCGGGAGGAGGAGGAGGAGGCGGAGGAGGAGGCGGAGGAGGATGAGGAGGAGGAGGAGGAGAAGGAGGAGGAGGAGAAGGAGGAGGCGGAGGAGGAGGATACGGAGGCGGAGGCGGAGGCGGCGGCGGCGGCGGAGGCGGAGGCGGAGGCGGAGGCGGAGGCGGGGGAGGAGGAGGAGGAGGAGGAGGAGGAGGAGGAGGAGGAGGAGGAGGAGGAGGAGGTGGAGGGCCCGGAGGCCGGAGGATAGGAGGGAGGAGGAGGAGGAGGAGGAGGAGGAGAGGAGGAAGGCGAGGAGGCGGAGGCGGAGGAGGGAGGAGGAGGAGGAGGAGGAAGAAGAGGAGGAGGAGGAGGAGGCGGAGGCGGCTGCGGCGGCGGCGGCGGCGGAGGCGGAGGCGGAGGCGGAGGAGGCGGAGGAGGAGGAGGAGGAGGAGGAAGAGGAAGAGGAATAATATTATTCATAAGAAGAGTAAGAATGCTAATAATAATAAGACGACCGATAATACTAATAAGATTATTAAGAAGAATAATACTCATAAGAAGACGAATCATAATAATGACAATCATACTAAGAGGAACAATAATAATTAGAATAATAATATTACGAAGACGAATACTAATAATAATAACAAGAAGACGACGACTATTACGAATAATATTAATAAGAAGAATAATGCGAATGATACGACGCATAAAAATACCAATAATAATAATACTAACATTGATAATTTTGGTAAGACGAATAATACGACGAATACTAAAACGAATCAGAGTTTTAAGAATAATACGAAGAACAATACTAATACGACGACGACGAATAATCACAATAATAATAATACGAATAAGAATAATAATGATACGAAGAACAAGACTACGAATAATAATAAGACTAACACACTAGTAACAATAGTAATAATACTGTTAATAATGATAATAGTAATAAGAAGAATGAGACTACTAATAATAATACTACGAAGAATACTAACAATAATCTTAATACTAATAATACTACTAATCATAATAATAATACTAAGCATAAGATTCTTAGGCTTACGCCACACCGCCGACCCCTTGTTTATGCCAATCTGGGGGTAGTAGAAGCTGCGAAGGGGTGAAAAGGCGAGTGATATTTGTTTGGTGTCTGTTCGCCGCCACCGCCAGAGGGTCTCGGGCAGTTCCGCGGGGAGGTCCGAGCGGACAGCGACACTGCGAGTTTTGGAGCCACTCGGGGGCCGTTTCGGAGCCTCTGGGGTGCTTCTTGGGGGTTCCTTGGGGCGTCTGGGCGGCCTCGTGAGGGCCTCTGGGGGCCTCTTGGGGCACTCTTGGGGCCCCCTGGGGCTCCTGGGGGCAGAAAGCTAGAGTTTCAACATGTTTGGTCGCCCTCTTGGGCCCCTCGTGGTGCCGTCTTGGAGCCCTCTTGGGCCGTCTTGGGGACCTCTTGGGCCGTGTTGGGGCCGTCTTGGGCCGTCTGGAGGCCGTCTTGGGGGCCTCTTGGGGCCATCTTGGGGCTCTTGGGCCATCTTTGGGGCCTCTTTGGCCGTCTTGGAGCGTCGGGAAGCCGAAAAGGCGGAAAAGCAAAACACATCGAAAAACACTATGGAAAATCAACAATTTTAGACTCTTGGGGCCCTCTTGGGAGGCTTGTTTGGGACCTCGGGGGCCGTCTTGGAGACCTCTTGGCCCGTCTTGGGGCCATCTTGGGCGTCTTGGAGCGGTCGTTTGGCGTCTCGGAGCCTTCGTGGGCCGTCTTGGAGGCCTCTTGGGGGCTTCTTGGCCCGTCTTGAGGCCCTCTTGGGCCCGGAAAAGCCCTGGAACCGCTCGTCCCGGCCGTGCTGCGCTCGTCCTGGCCCCCTCCCCGCCTCCAAATCGGCCCTCTTGGGCCGTCTTGAGGACCTCTTGGGCCGTCTTGGGGCCGTCCTGGGCCGTCTGGAGGCCGTCTTGGGGGCCTCTTGGGCCATCTTGGGGCTATCTTTGGGGCCTCGTCGTGCGTCTTGGAGCGTTGGGAAGCCGGAAAGGCGGAAACGCAAAAAACGTCGAAGAACACTATGGAAAATCAACAATTTTAGACTCTTGGGGCCTTCTTGGGAGACTTGTATGGGACCTCGGGGGCCGCCTTGGAGACCTCTTGGCCCGTCTTGGGGCCATCTTGGGCGTCTTGGAGGGGTCGTTTGGCGTCTCGGAGCCTTCGTGGGCCGTCTTGGAGGCCTCTTGGAGCCTTCTTGGCCCGTCTTGAGGCCCTCTTGGGCCTGGAAAAGCTCTGGAACCGCTCGTCCCGGCCGTGCTGCGCTCGTCCCGGCCTTCTCACCCCCTCCAAATCGGCCCTCTTGGGCCGTCTTGGGGACCTCTTGGGCCGTCTTGGGGCGGTCTTGGGCCGTCTGGAGGCCGTCTTGGGGGCCTCTTGGGCCATCTTGGGGCTATCTTTGGGGCCTCTTTGCCCGTCTTGGAGCGTCGGGAAGCCGGAAAGGCGGAAAAGCAAAAAACATAGAAAAACACTCTGGAAAATCACCAATTTTTGATTCTTTGGGCCCTCTTGGGAGGCTCATTTGGGACCTCAGGGGCCGTCTTGGAGACCTCTTGGCCCGTCTTGGGGCCATCGTGGGCGTCTTGGAGCGGTCGTTTGGCTTCTCGGAGCCTTCGTGGGCCGTCTTGGAGGCCTCTTGGGGGCTTCGTGGCCCGTCTTGAAGCCCTCTTGGGCCAGGAAAAGCCCCGTGGAGCGCTCGTCCCGGACCCCCCCCCCCTCCAAATCGACCGGACCGGGCTCCCGGGGGAGGGGTTTGGGGAGGGGGAAGCATCTCACACGCCGATGATCCCCAAGGGGTCGGCGGATTAATAATAAGAAGAATAATATTACGAAGACTAAGAATAATAGTACTAATAATAGTAGTAGTAGTAGTAATAATAATTATATTAAGAATACGAATACTAATAATGATAATATTAATATTAATAATACTAATAATAATAATACTAATAATGATAATACTAACAATAACAATAACAATAACACTAACAATAATACTAATACTAATAATAATAATGATACTAATAATAATACTACTAATGTTAATAATAATAATAATAATAATGATGGTAATATTAATAATATGAATAATACTAATAATAATATACTGATAGTAATATTATTAAGAATACTAATAATACTAAGAATAATACTACTACTAATAATAATAATTATAATGGTAAGAAACATATTACTAAGATTGATAATAA